TTTTCTCATTCACTTCGTTTCATTTCGCTTTCACAGGTCCATTCAACTTATCATTCTGTAGCATATACTATTTACTTGATACATTGACGAGTGTTGACAGCCGAAGTCAACAATGCAACAGTTGAATATTATTGCACAGCAATGTTCGAGAGCCAAATGGTCAATTATAGAGTATATTTGACAGAATGAGAATTTGACTTTAATTGTTGAGTGAAATGAACGAGAAATTGGCAGAAGTGAACACTTTTGGTGATAAAAGTCATGAGAGCGATTACAACAGCTCGGAAAAGAATGAGAACCCTGTTGAAACGAACGAAAATCCTGTTAGACCAGGACGAGCTAATGATCCTCGGAAAATAGGAGAATGAAGTGTTGTCTCAGCTAATCGCATATGTATACCCGATTTAAAAAACACCATTGATACGAACTCGTGCTTAGTAATTTGAGTATACCCGTAAAATTATCCAGCAAACTATTCAGCATACATGATTGTTCTGCACAATAATTTAAACACATTCCTTTGACACGAACCCACGTAAAGTTGTCCAACCGACTCTCCATCAAATTATTTTATCAACTTGTTCGGCACTTCGAATTACTCTGCACAATATACTTTCAGATCAGGTGCAAATAAAGTCTTAGTCATTCCTTTGACCCCTTAGAGCTATTCTAGCTGCTTATTTAGCATTTCGCTTCAATGTATTCATTACTTTCATTTGCTATGAATTCAATATCAATTGCCAATCATTTTGAAATCCTGTTGAGCTTGTGAACGTCCCGTTACGACGGTTTCTAGCATGTTTTAGCCACACTGAACATTCAACTGCGAATGCACACGCTCTACGAACGAAATGTGGATTTCAATTTACCATCAGAAACTACAAAATCACCACAAAATTAATTTTTGCAGTAGAAAGAGATTCCTCACAATAATCGTATTCTTAGAAACTGATTCGAAATAATAAACGTAATAAAAACGCATCCGAAGAACTTCACCCATGTAATGTTAACCATGTATTCTTTTGCGTTTAAATAAATGCTCTTAAGCAAATTCGAAAGTGTGTGTTAAAAAAAAACTGCGTCTAATTTCCAAGTACTTAAAGAGTAACTATGGTAACCACATTCTTATAAAGTGACTGGATACAATGAACATCATTAAAATGCATATAAAGAAGTTTTTCTGGGCAGTGTCACTCGTACATTCATGAGTGGAATATGTTGATTTTGGATCGACACCTATGAACAATCTGTGCGGAAATTTGATTTATTTCATTATGAGTGTTATCAGACATTAAGCACGATCAGTATTGTTAGTGCAACTCCTCTTCTTGTTTTTATTGCTCATTTTATTCACTGACTGTTTTTGTACATGGTTTTGATATCATTCCTTATTCCATTAGTACTATTCGCTAATTCATTTATATTATCACTGCTGTGGGGTTCGATATTCGTCTTGGATAAATGCTCCATATTTATTTCGTACGTTGTCCACAGCAGCAATGCGCAAGAAGTTCTTCCAGTCGTGTTTTTTCGAGCCAACAATTGAAATATGATTCGTTCGAATACTGAAAGCAATTAACATATTTGTGTTGCTTTCAAGAAATCAGTATCGTTTCATGGTGTTCAGTAAAATTAGCATTGATCATGTTGAGATCATCAATATGCAGTCGATCAACTATCACATACAGTTTCATTTGCTCATAACATGTTGAGTAAGGATTAAGAACTGAAGGTTAGACTCAGATCGGAATTTTCAAGATGAACATTACATTCGGGATCACTTTCGAGGAGTAGATAGCAATGTTTCCTTTGGATAATGTTTTTTTTGAAAATTGGGGCCTGTGGAGTAAATTTTCAACTTTGAGGCATTGTTTGCGAAATATCAACGCAACTGCGATCGTTTCTGAACATCGGATGCGGCAGTTTCGTAGAAGATATTTCAAATAGAATAATGGAATATATGACTGAGTAATCATGAATATTCGCAGATGAATCAGAAGTTATGCTTACTTTTCAGCACATTTCCAACGACAATATCTACTATCAACGCGAATTCTTCGTCGACATTCACGGGTACATAGGTCCGATAGTAATCTGGCAACATTGAACTGGCCCCGTACAACACTGACCACCACAACTGATACGTCGTCCTGGTCAGTTATAACTTGTGATAGTAATACCTGAATGTTGAATGCATACAAACCATTTTTGTTATCATCACAAACGCTCTTCAATCATTTGCTCGTTCATTTCCGATCATTCTTCAAAAGTATGTGCAATTTCCAGTCTAGAATCCAGAAACTCATATGATATGATATTGTCGCTGTGATGCTTGGAAGCCGGAAAAAAGCTCAATTTAATATGACTTGTAGATGCCGATAGAAATGCAGACGAATAACAGTATGGTAACCAGGAGTTTGGAAGAGAACTAATCGTAAGTGAAGGCCAAGAATAAGATGAGGGATTCGACTTGCAAGTTCGTCAATTGAAACTGGATGCACAAAGTGATAATCGTTGATAGTTGTGTAACTATTGAAGAGATCCTTAATGAAAACAGATAAGTGAATGAATAATGCATGCGCTCCGATGAAATTTACCTGAGTTGTGTACGTATTGGTGGTTCGATTATAAGACGATGCATAATCTGTGAATATATTGCAATCACCCGACTTCGCACACCAATCCGATAGCTTAGAAACGGTTTCAACGATGCTTTTGACATGAAATTATTGCACCTTTTAGTTAACGCATCAGTAAAGAGCTCATTCAATAGCGAATATCCTATGTGCTCCTCTCATTCTATATCTCTCTTTATTTTCAGTCTGTTCTTCGACTCTCATTCTCTGTTTCTCTCTATCAAACGAAATGAGCTGATAATGAGACGATTATGGTACTGGGATGGAATAAATGAAACCGGTTTAGAAATGTGCGGATAATTAGCAAACTGAACGATAACTTAAATGAACTGAAGAAGTGTACCTCAGAGTTACTGATCGCAGTGAAGATATCAGTGAGTGATGAACGATTACAAGTGAACAAGGTGAAATACTCAACAATATGCATGTTGATAAAAATAGATGGTGATAAGTAGAGCGATTGGTCTCGAGGTAACAGGTCGTCGAGACGAGCGTCGAGTAGTTGACGTTGTCGTGATGTGAGCATCTGCTGCCTGAACAAGTCGAACGGTATTCGCATACCGCTCATGTATAAATTCGTTTCATTTGACACTTCAAAATATTGTTTCGCAACCAGAATACACGTGCAATTTACCTGAAATATGTGCTTTGTTCAAGTAACAAAAATTTTTAAAGAGTTCTGTGTGGCGACACTCTCGAAGAAACGTGAAAATGAGGAGGGATTTTCCTTGTTTAGTATTATGCGATTACACTGATGAAATTGAACGCATTCTTCTTGAGGTATTCTATGTTCTTCTTGAGGTATTCTATGAGAATTCCTCACGCGCTTGATGACCTCGATGCACAAAACAGCAAGTACACAATAGCCTAGCTTGCCAAGTTGTCCATCCCTAACCTAGTATGATACCTATTGCGAAAACGATCCCCATAGCAATCTTCCAGTTTCCTAGGCCTTTCATAATCGGAGATTTAGTTCCACTATGTGTTTTCCAGTACACCTTGCTCAGAGATGCTTCAGAATATCAACTGTAGCAAATAGGAACGATTGCCATTATCTTTGAGCATGAAGCGACAGCTGTACGTAATGGGTACATAGTTTTATGGGACAAACTTCCTTCAAGATTACGTTACTCTCAGTTAAGAAGTAACTGTATACACGTTCGCATTTTGTGTTCATTGTGCATTTGTAATCACGAGGTAAACCTTGCAAACAGCTCTTTTAGATTGAAATTTTCTCATTGAAGAATTATTCATCTATCAAGACTGAGGAGCATATACATCTTAATAAGGTTCATTTCATATGTATCTTAACTTGGATTCATTTTGCAAGAAAACCAACCAATTCAATGTCGTATATATCCTTCACCTCAGATCCTGTTTAAGATGCAAGGCGTGGAATGTTTCAGTATGTCTTCTTCCACGGAACAACTGAATTCAACCTCACCAAGTAACCCTCTCATTCTCTATTCTCTCACTGTGCACGCTATTTTCCTCTACACTATCTATGCTTCTATACATTTCACGTAAGAACGAGAGAGAGAGAGTCCACAGATTCGAAGTTGCAGGCTCATAACACAGTCAGTTCTTGTAACAACGAACTGTAACTTTCACAGATTATAGGCGTTGGGTTAAGCTCATCTTGCATCGAGCCTATTAATCTGCAATTGCACGTGGCCAAAAATATAAGGCATATACAATAGGGCCGAATACAAGACTTGATTTTTTCATGGCACAGTAGCATGGAATATCGAAAATTTTTGAGTTCGGCTTTTGTTTTAGGAATCTTTTTTTAAGATTTCGATTCAGCTTTGCATTGTTGATTTAACGCAGTCATTGGATTTATTTTTGTTAAGATGGCATCATCCACTTTCATCCGTTGAAATCGTATTGGGATTCTCTCAAAGTTTCGATATCGCAGACTCAGACAAGTGGGACAATTCTCGAGCTGCTAAGCTGTAATTTCGAGAGAATATAAATCTTGATCAAGACTCATTTTGCATAGAACAAGTTAATAAACTATTGCTTCTGGCCAAATATATAGGGCGAGGAATTTTTCAGATCTAATTTCTTCAAGAGCGTAAGAACACTAAACATTTAAATTTCTGGGCTCAAATATCGTTTTGGGACTGAGTTTCCATATTTTAGATTGAGTTTGATTATCGATTTTACACGTCTCTTTTTCTTACACGGACTCTGCTTTTCTACGCTTCACCATTTCTGTAACTTTAGCCAGATCCGAAGTCGATGGCTTATAAAGCCAAATCTTGATCTAGCGAGCTGTAACTTCACGTAAACTCATTTTGCTTAAAATCACTTTGTTAACTATTGGTTCCGGCTAAAAAAATATGGGGCACGGAATTTTTCAGAATTGATTTTTTGCACACCATGGGAACATTGAATATTTAAGTCTCCGAGCTCAGGTATCGTTTTGGAACTCAATTTTTTTATGTTAGATAGAGCTTTCCACTGCCAATTCAATGTTGCCATTGAATTCATTTTTGGTCAAGCCTTTCAGATATCGCCCATTTCGTTCACAAAACTGTACCAAGATTTTGCTGGAGCTTCGATGTCGCAAGCACACGACTCAGTCAATTCCTGCTCTAGCAAGTTGTTGTCCTAGCTGATCATAGAACCTAAGCGATACTCATTTTGCACGAACTCGGATAATTCAATGTTTCTTCTTCCACGAAATTGAGTCGAAATTAGGCTCTCTACGCGGCCCTCTCATTCTCTGTTCTCTCAGTTTACACGTTCTTATTCTCTACACTATCTTTGTTTCTCGAAAACTCGTTATGTATGTAGTAACGTGACAGAGAGTCCATAAATTTGAAATCAAAGGCTTAAACTCAATCTGTTGCAAAGATATTTCTGTCAGTTGCAAAGACCATTCATCTTGGCTTCTAATCATTCAACGCGAAACACGTTGTTCGGTGTATCTGATAATCCATCGAGTAATGTATGAAAGAGTTTACCTGAATATCGGACATTGGAATACAAACAGACGATGAAACATCGCAAATATTGAAGGCATCTGTGGTGATTTTCATTGTGCCCATAATTGTTATGAGCTGACAAATGAATCGTTGCACTCGATCCTTCTTCACCAATCGTTCTAGTACCATTACAGTGAACTGTGCTACAAGAAAAAGAGATTTCAAAAGCATTTCGGGAATTATTGGAGAATATTAATCGCACTAATATCTCCGAGATACCATTTTTCCGCTGTTGATAAGCGCAATTTTAGGCATTTGCTTAGCTCACATTCATGACTGATCAAATGTTCAGTCCTTCAAAATGTTTATACATGTGATGGCTCAATGAACTGACGGCATTCTATGGTTATATCAGTAAGTTCTAAATGAATGACAATGGTATTTCTTCGTGCTGAAATATCCTTGAGAATATCCCATCAAAAACATTTGGAAATTAATAGATAAGGTATTCATTTCTCAATGCTAATAAATAAACGCCTTGTCAGCTGATCGAATTGCGGTGAAATGATCGATTGTCGATCAAAAAGGAGTTGAAATTGCGCACATATTTATTGTTTATTCATTGCAATGTTTATTTCGTTGGAGTTGTGACTCGAAATGTATTGCTTACTCATATCATATTCGATTTAATGTGATATGAATAAGCAATACGTTTCGATATGATATGTTTGCTTCGTTACCAGCAGCAAGAAGGGTCAATATGATTTATGCTATGGGCATGCAAAAGCACGATGAGGTTTGCACAGGATTGAGATCAGTGAATGTTGCTGGAGTAATAAATAATAAGGATGATAAAGAGTTTGATTTGATTGGATTGTATTCAGATATCTGAACGTTTTCTTCTACTCAAGTACAATTTGAAGTGAAACGCCTGAAAGATCGGTAGAAATCATTAATTTCGTTTCTTTTTTGCACATTTCACTTCAATGAATTAGCCGATTGCATTGCTGCATTTCTTTGAACTTATCTTAATTTTTACACAAATTATTCGGTGGGTCTCTCGAAACACATCCACAGAGAATAACGATTAAACTGCCAATTAATTTATGTTTTCACTCACAAACACTATAAAGTTTGATCTTCTGCATCTTATATGTATTTGCAATCAATTTGATCGAGGAGGCTGGCTAGCTGCAGATGTGATTTCTCTGAAATTATTTGCGATTTTTGAGATCATTCAAATCCCCAAATCCAACTGAATCTATACGTGAGCATCCAAACATTTTATTCACCAAATTTCTGCTGTTTCATTTTTTTCAAATTTTTGTCTCTTCAGAATTTCAATTTCTTCAGTTCCGTTCAATATTTTCTGACGAATTCAACGATACTAAACAGAAATCTGCATTTTTATATCTATTGACAACTCACTTTGTGATGTTTTTCGAATTTTTGAAATGAAATGGATCATAAGAATTTGGAATTCTCACCTATGCACATTATCAGTCGTTGCAGACACACTTATCAATAGAAAGGCATTGCAAGTGCACATCTACACTGATTATGTGCTAATTCTTCAGGTGAACAGTTTTATTGTGTTGACTGTTTGAAGTTTGGTGCCTACAGCCATCCTCTTTTCAAACCATTTCTTCCAATCACCACAAAAATTTCACTCTTCATTAACAACTTGAACAAGAAATACTCTGCTTGTTCGCTGACTGCTCAAACAAAGTCTATTTCATGAATAAGCATAATTCTCTTGAATTCATTTTCTCGTACAATATTTGCATTCTATTGATTTTAATTTATAGAACAGTTAAGTAGTCAACTGATGCAGTAACTCACCTACATTTACAATATTTCGATTATTGAATATTTCAGTAATTATTTTGATTATTCATAGTCAGCTAACTTTGATTGCGGAACGCGTGAGTTTATTTTCACTAATTTGCTCGAGACTCGGACTGATTATTTCTCGAGAATTGTTCCCAGTAATGAATGATTTATTTTGGGATATTCCATGGAATAATGGTGTAATATATCTGATGATACAATTGTATTATTGGATCATGTTCGTTGCTGCAGCTCTAACGTCACACAGTCATTCTTATGTGCTGCTTTGAGAGTTTAAGTGCTAAATTCCAGAAGAAATAGAGTTTTTCTCACATTGTGCTCACGATGGACGAATCATTTTCACAGATGATGGAATTTTTTATAGACCTCTTTGATTTACTGGATATCGTTATGATTGATTGCCATTAGTTGATGAATCGTAATTTGGACAGATGTGTAATACTTCGTGTTGAATTTTGAAGACATACGGCAACAATATTTAAGCGCTGCGAAGTGTTTTAGCTAATTCGGATTCATTATGACCATAGTGAATTTCATTATTTATTCGCCTTTGAACTCTTGCTAACTTAATGAAAAAAATGTAATATCATTGACCATACACCGACGCAAACTCTTGCCCACTTCATGCAGTCGTCTGAATGGAAATCAAAAATTTGAAAAAAAATTGACATGATTTAGCTGACGTTTTGATTGTTCTAGATTCGTCGACACGATTCGGTTTTCGAATCGTGTCGACGAATCAAAAACAATCCGAACGTCAGCTGAAAACAAAAACAAAAAACAAAAATTTTTAGACAATTTTTTTTCCTGTAAACAAAAATTTTTCGAAATAACTTCTCACCATTCGTTTTACTTATGAAAACATGACGATACGGACAGGCTGCCTAGTGAAAGGTCTACCTAAGCATTATGAATGAAAAATATGTAAATAACACTCAATTTGTTTGTTCGGAGCGAAATGATATTTGGGTATTCGGATCACGATTACAGTGGTCGCATTCCATTAACGATCTCGATTACAATTGCGAATTTACATTAACAGATGTACTGTTCAAAAAGAAGCTTTTCACTGCTATATGGAAACATTTACCAATCTCATCTGTCATTATGAATATATCATTACGTTGTTAAGCACACAGCGACTATCTGTTGAATAGATTCACTGTATTGTGCTAACAACTTGTATATCAGCTGTCATTTTACGATGTTTATTAAGCTTTTAGGCGAGTAATGTCAATCGGTATTTTTTGCATTTCAATATTGACGAATTTTTTCATCTTCGAGGCATAAGTAAGAGTCCTTGAATAGCACCGGTTTGAAGGAAAGCAAAGATATTTTCAGTTTCTTTTTGAATCACACTTTCTTCATTCATTCTGAAAACTTCGCCTCAGTAATTGCTCAGAAAGCAATTAGTGCAGCCAACGTGGACTGCGACGATAGAGTTATAAACATTCGGTTTATTCTCATCGGTTGAGTCCCAGATCTTTGAATATGAGTATACGCTTTAGTGAGGTTTTAAGCGTCTCGTCAACGTGCGTCCTGATGTCCACCATAAAATTACCGATAACAGAGGGATGATACTTTCTGTGTTATTTGAAAAAAAGAGTAAATAAATTTTGACGTATATTTATGAGTAAGTATATGAAGGTGATATAGTTTTTCAATTGATTTTTTTTGCTGTTCCTAAAAGGCGTTTTTAAGTTCATCTGAAAGTAACCGTATATGACGACATACCCAGAAGAAGATTTATTCAAAAAAGCCAAAATTTTTGTCTTCTCACGATGAGAATGGAATTTGCTTGATTTAAGATCGTTTACGATGCTTGATCTTTTGCTTGGTCTTGATTTATCAAAGGATCTTAAAGATCTTAATCTTTTGCTTCAAGATTTTTTGCTCGATTTGCCTCATTTTTATTTAATATCTTAAGATCTTTAAGGTCTTAAGATATTTTTGTAGTGATCCCTTTCGATTGAACAATGCATCAAAAAGCGCTGAATTGATGGGGGAATACGTTTTCATTCGGTTTATTGATGCATCGGTGAGGTGATCGTTTTGGTGACGCTGAAATCGATAGTAATCGAAACGATAACGAGTTGTTTTCCAGTTTTCTTCTACGTAATGTATCGATCATGCATGATTGATACCGTAACGGTACTATGTTTATATACAAAGAGTACGTTCCTTAGCCAGTTTCACGACTCACAAACACTTTTCTAAAAACTTCCTTCCAACCAAAAACTGATAAATACTTCGTATTTCCTAATTTTAAGCTCGAAGATAATAATAAAGAAAACGATCATTCATAATAAGCATTAGCATTAGTGTTGTTTGAATCATTCAATATTATTGTTTTTGCTGCCGTTGCAGCAAAAATTTTTATCGCTATTTGAAATCTGTTCTGGTCGAACAGTTGAGTGTTTGTTCTTCATTCACAGTTGCTGTTGTCGATCAAAAATCGAACATTTCAGAAGACGTTACATAAAAAATTTGCATTTGTTTCATTTGTTTTTTGACAAATGCGATCTGGATGAGTGTTTTCTCGATGAACACATGAATGTGGATTTCTTGCTCACAAATTTTTATCGCAACAATCGAAGAGTTCATTCGTGCATTACCTTCTTCTCATCACGTTCTTCACAACCACTTTCTACTATAACGATAACAATTGTTGTTCAGAAGAACTGCTGTAAAACTTTTCAAATTTATTTGCTTATCGCTCTCACTGCAAATATTTGCTCACTTATTTACAGATGATTAACTGCTGGATTTTTCTTTCGTAAATTGTGATTTTTCAATGGTGAGCTGAGCATTGCACATGCGGTTATCAAACGTCGGATTGTCCGATTGTAAGAGAATAATTATTAATTAATTGTCTAACTTTGAGGAATACGTAAGATTCATTTCTTTTCGAAATGAACTGTTCCGATTTTGTCATTGTGATGATATTTGAACAGTTTAAACAGCTGAACCTAAAAATAAATCACTTTATGAGAATATAAGAGTAATTACACTTGTAATTGATATTCCCGATTCAGTTGGTATTGAATGAATAAATGAATGACTGCTTCATTGTGTGCGTTTTTAATATATATGAACTTAAAATATAAAAAAATAAAATAATAAAAATTAACGAAATCGTGAAGTTTTGACGTTCGATAATTTCTTCGCAGATTCGACTTTATTTACAAGTAAAATAAACGTTTCGCGAGCAAATGCACTCAAATTCGGTGCATTGAGTGATGTGTGCGATAGACAGGATTGCGAATGTTTTGATGAAACCATTTGTCAGTGATAATCTGCGAGAGAAAGCATGGGGATTCCCCTTCGTAAACGCAATTGACTGTTAGGTAAGCCTTAGCATTCATCCGTTTGCATTAGGTGTTCAGTACGTACATATACTGATGGATATAGCTTGTATATGAATGTGTATATGGTTATGTAGCCACGAACGAACGAAAAACAAGAATCGATACGCAACAGTAGTGGTTGGTGTTCGTTGTAGAGAAAGAAAAATTCGCCCAAACACGTTATCAGTAATAAATTCTCTCTTTGCGCTCATTCTTATGAGGCATCTTACTTTTTCTGAACGATAACATCAAAACATAAGATCTGAAGAGGATGCCCCAGTCTCTTTCTGAGCGAACTGTTTCTCATTAATATCGATGCTTAAGGTCAAATGTGTGATGTGTTGTCCAACACAATTCTCAATCTCTTGTCACATATCGAATTCCTTATAAATATTTTTTCAGGCATTTTTGACGTTCTTAAACGTTGACCTTAATCTGTTTGATTTTGCATCTGATTGAACTGAGAACTTTGATTTGTTACGTAAGTAAAAGATTATACTAGTCGATATGTTGTTCATGAATAAATATAATTGTTTACCTATTGCTTACCTTTATGTGGATATGGAAACGTTTCATGAATTGCGGCAATTATGAGTGTTTATAATTTTATTCATATTCTCATTAACATTTTCGGTTAATAATTCCAGTGGAATTTGTCTATTTTTCATAACCACTCATTTTTTCGTCACTACAACATCCTATGAGACTGTACTTTCCTTCTCTCACCAGCTCATTACCTATTCAAAGATATCATCGTTCGTTTGTTGTTTCATTTAATAACTGAAAAGGTCTTCTTGAAGGGTATTTCTGTTTTGTGTGTAGTGTTATCGGATTGAAAAATATTATTTGTGATAATTGATAACTTCATAATGTTTCAAACACATAATTCAGGCACATAGAAATGTTTTTAACAAGGCGTCTACTGGGCACGTTCCGAAGTGCCATTGCCAGGAAATTAGAACATTACAGTCAATTTCAACCGTCCTCTTTAACGATACAACAATATTTGGATTTCGGACGAACCGGTACCATGCAGTCATCGTTTTTATTTCTTAAGAATGAGTTGCTTGTAAGACTGGCGAATATTATGCAGGTACTAGTATTTCGCTGTCATTGGTATTGTTGTTGTCATTCTTATTGTAAATGACAAGCACTCATTGTCAGTTATTGAAGACGAAGAAATTAAAAATCACAAAAGTGAATGATGCTTTACGCTGGCATCGATCACATCCAAAAATTTTAAATTGCAGATTTTGTTTACTCATACAGTTGTTTTTGTTAACAGTATACAGTTAGTCAGCTTATGAGTAGAAATCAGCCGTTTGAAAGACGGTTTTTTGTGGTCAATTGTAGCAAAGCATTATGGCGACAAAAAATTATCAACTGATTAGTTGACAGCGAACTGTACGCATCACGACCGAGTTCATGAAATTGTTAATCAGTTTGTCTCACAATGAAAAAAAGACAATGAAGTTGGACAAGAAAAATAAACTTGTGAAGTGGAATATTCCCTTCATTTCAGGAGATTGATCTACTGCCACCGAATCTTTTGAAAATGCCTTCAGTTCGTCTTGTTAGCGATTGGTACTGTGAAAGTTTTGAGGATCTATTAGAATACGAAAATTCGAAAAGTGATCCTGATACAATGTCAAAGTAGTTTTTTTTAAGAATTTTTTATTTTCAGTCCATTCGGCAATTGCAATTTTCAATTTCTTGACTGTAAATTTTCGTGTTTGAATAGTTTTGTGAAGGTAAGCTATCGCATCAAGGGAATGAAGTGTTAAAAGTGTATTTTAGGTTCAATGATCAATTGCAAAAAATTTTAAAAAGACATTCGAATGTTGTGCAAACAATGGCTGAAGGTTTGATTGAACTGAGAGAAAGTGAAGGAGTTGATATAGCATCCGAGCGCGGTATACAATATTTCTTGGATCGATTCTATATCAATAGGATATCTATTCGAATGCTTCAAAATCAACACCGTTCGTTCATTCACCCATTCTATTTGAATTGTTTGCTAATTTTATATGTTCATTCATTCAAACAGAGAGCATCAATATTAATTCATTCGTACTTCAGCGATTCCTATTGGCAATCGCGTGTTGCTTCAAGAAATTCGAATTGTAAACATTGATTTAGAAGAGAAAACAATTGGAATGAAATGTTTTAGTGGTGATATTCGGCGTGGTGCTGCCAGAAAGTCCTCAACATATAGGCTGTATTGATCCATTGTGTGATGTTGAGACGGTCGTGAAAGATGCTTACGAGAATGCTAGGTTCCTTTGCGAAAGGTTCATTTTTGTGCTGATTCTCTTGTCAGTTTGTTTGCTAGCAATTACTTACATTGCAAGTGATATGATAAGTTTTCATATAAATCTGTTTGGATCATTCTCAGGTACTATTTGACATCACCAGACATAAATCTTGACTTACATAATATGGTTAATCCGGGTCGACCGATAACGATTGTTGCCGTACCGTCACATTTATATCATATCATGTTTGAGTTATTCAAGGTTCGTTTGAAGGTCATCGTTCTGAATCCGTTTTTTGACTTATCGTGCAAGTTTCATTAGAGTATTGATGAAGTTTCCTTGTTTCATTTCTGTTTCCCTGAAAACAGTTTAATTCGTTGAATATATCGTAAATACTGACGAACGTTTATCAGTTCTTTTTAGTGGGAGATTTTTTTCATGCGTATTTTTGTTATCGCCGATAGTCGGAGATGGCCAATTCTTACAGAATTCAATGCGTGCCACCGTCGAAAATCACGGAGTTGATGAAGAATTGCCAGCCGTCGAAGTGAAAGTTGTGAAAGGTGCTGAGGATCTCTCGATTAAGGTTCGATGAGACCATTGATATCATTTATTTTATTTCATATACATTTCGATTTATGAGTATATGTTTCCAATCACCGTGTTCGATTCAGTTACAATCATCTACTTGCAACATAGCGAAAAAGTAAAAACATTCTTAAGTAAATATTTAAGGGAATGGGATCACTTATGTTATGTTATAATATCTCTAAGGATTTGATAATGGAAACGATTTTGAACTGATTTTATGATCACTTCAACGAATATGTCAGATGAATACTCTGCAATTTCATTTTTGAAGAATGCAATGAATGAAAAAAGAACTGATTCAGATAAGCGATCGAGGAGGTGGAGTGTCGAGAACAATTTTGGATCGTTTATTCAATTATATGTACACTACAGCTCCACCGCCACCTCGTGACGGCACACAAGCACCCCTTGTATGTTATGAAGCAATGATATTTTTGAATTGTTTAAGAAAATTTCCTTAGAGATTCAGGAAAATACTTTTCGGAACCATGTTTTTTTTGAACTGCGAAGGAGTTACGGAAGTTTTCGGTTTAGGAATTTCGAATTAGGCATGAACTTTGTTCTGAAATAATGACAGTTGGTTCCGTTTCTAGAAAATTGCGTTTTTCTTTCGAAAATGAGAGATATATTCAGTGAATTTTCTCAGTAATTGTTGGTGTTTTTGGGAAATTTTTGAGTGAATCTCAAACAAATCGGTTCACTTTCAGGCAGGATATGGGTATGGATTGCCTTTATCACGACTTTATGCACGTTATTTTCATGGTGAAATGTTTTTGGTTTCGATGGAGGGATATGGCACTGATGCGATGATATTTTTGAAGGTAATCGAAATGTACAATTCTGTAAAATAATTTATTTCTGAAATAAAACCAAATTTTGGGCTTAATGGACATTTAGTAGGTGATTGATGAGTTGATATTTCAGGCACTTCCGGTTCAAGCAAGTGAAGTGTTGCCCATATATAGTTCATCATCACGAAGACAGTTGACGATGAGCCCTCAGGTTGCCGACTGGTCTCATCCTCTGCCCAATCATGGCAATCGTAAATCATGAGAGACTGTCTTCTAGACATTGATTGTTTCATTTTGATTGAGTGATTGTTCGTTTCAGTTACAAATTCAGTTGTTGACAATTATGATTAGTTGGTGTAATATTTCGTTATATATAGCGAGCGATCAAGCATAGTCTCAGAAGTAATATCTCATTCAGTCTGATTTTAATTTAAGTATCGCACGAGTTGATTGCCTAACCAATTCGACATCATTTTCATGTGTGCAGATTTTTTTTTTCATCTTAATACTTTTCAAATTCAGATTGTTATCTAAAAGCGTTGTATGTGAATTTTTTTCCTCAAAATTGTCTTCTTGTTCACTGCCCAAGTAATATTTGAGTTTGTTATAGTCCTCGGTTTGTGCTTATTTTTGTCTTAATACAAGAAATGCTCCCACTTAACTTTTTGAATTGGATTGCTCAAAAGATACATCGATTGTTCAATATGGGTCTGTCTATTCATTATTCAGTGTGGAGATTGTTGTTTCTTATTATTATTGGCATTAATTCATTATGCATCTTTTATGCTTATTCCCACAACAGTAATAGCAAAAATTCATTTGCAAATCATAACAATCATTCTTCTACGCCAACAATTCATCTGTGTCAATTGCAATCACTTTCATTCATTCACACTGTTATTTTATATGAAATTCTTGAAGCGATTGATCATATCTTTCGATGTGTTGTTTATGTCAGAAGAACGTAATTCAGTATTGTTCGATTTTTAATGGAAATCGAAATTGAATGAAATGATATCGCTGTGCCTGTGAAAACGAACCGACTTTGTCATTTGAAATTAATTAAAATATTTATAGGCATGTTGTTACAATTGGCTTATTCATCCGAGTTTGAACAAAAAAAGGAATTTGTTTGTTGGTATTAGTGTATGCGCCTCTATTGTGATAATTGTTTGTTTTCGTTCATCTCTTTTGAATTTTTCATTTTTCGGCCTTAACGCTCGAAGTATTCAGCTGACTGAAATTTTTTTCTAGCAAAAAATTTTAGTTGTAGACTTCTTCAGAGATTATGTCATATTTGAGGAAATTGAAACTGAATGATGTCTTTGAACATTCATATGATTGGAACTGTCGAAATGAGTGAGATGATGGTCTGTCTGGCTGAAAATAGAAACAGTTGTAGTGATACTTCACTTGAAGTTTCTTATTTGAAAGATTGATTCACGTCGCCTAGGCCCATCATGTCTATCAGATGTTTCTCATTGTTCATCACGATGAATTTGCCGATTTGTTTTATGTTTTATTTGGAAATGTATAGTCGCATGTGTATATAGTAATAATTTTTATTGGATCACAATTCTAGCGAGCCGTTAAACGGGTCGAAGCATTTTGCTTATTAATTTTGTTGTTTATGATTTTGATTGTATTGTGAAGGTGTTTTTAAGTTACATCTCTGATTTTGAATTCACTGGTTACGTTATTTTTTGAGTGTTATTTGTTCATTTTTGAAGTGTTGTATTGGAGTTTGGAGAGGAATTGCGAAAGTTCGTTGAGCACTTTGATGTTTAAATGAAGAGGATGTTGGCTGTCATTTGATAGACAGTTGAGGATGTATTTGGCTGTTATCTACTTGCTTGGTGTTCTTTTGGCTAATTTTTGTTATATCGAGAACAAATTTGTGTTTGTTGCATTGATGAAAATCGTTAACGACTGCTCATAAAATGATTTAATACATTTGTTTGCTTTTCTAATCTTACAACAATTCAGTTCATTACAAACCGTAATAGATGCGCAAATGAGAACTGCAACCGGATGATTTGAAGAGAGTTGTCACTATCATATTGGAAGTGTAGCAAGACACATTTGTTCATGGACGGTGAAGAGAGGTTTAGTAATCAGAGTATTTCGAGAATCCAATTGTGAAAACCGGTGTCAATATGTGATCGTCGGGTAGAATTCATTCCGAGAATATGAAGAAGTAGTGAAATTTGTCGGAAAAATCATTCGAAACGTGATATAGGGATTATTTATCAATATTGAGTGGCATACCTTCAGAAGATTAGGGGTATCCGGATAATGGAGCATAATTGTTCGGCAGCAAATATTGTGAGGAGTAGGTTTCCTTGAATATTGTGCTACGCATGCAGTGAATATTGGTAATCAAAGTTATCTGATTGATGGGGCAAGATCAGTCGGCAAGAATAATATTCTGAGAAAGCCATAATCCCCTCCTATATGATGATACCAGAAAGGTTCGTTTTAAGCGTTCAAGATTCCATCGATAAGTCTAGGTTATATAAGATCCCACTGTTAGCGTAATGTAAGTTGCACATTTTTTGCATCTCAACAATTGTTTCATGGTGTGGCAACTCACTATGCACATACCTTTTCTGTTGTAAAGCCGAATGTAACGAGAATGTGAAGTGAAGAAATGAATAGAGTGAAGATTCAGAAGATAATTATGAATGCGAGTGAATCAATGATACATTCGAATTGAATAAGAAAAGTGGTAATGCATAACAGGACTGCGATAGAGTCAGCAAGGTTAGTAATGAGAGTGATGAGACATCGCAGGAATTAGACATAAAAACTGGTGATGGTATCAGAATAGTGAATAAAGAACGGGACAATGGATTCTATTGCAAATAGCTATTCAGAAGGCGTGTACACTTTTCATACTTCCATGTACAATTTTCCTTCAACAGTCTCTCAATGAATCCTATGCCTAGTTTCCATACTCCCTCATTACTCTCATTACTAAAATAACTTGCTGCATTACAATTCCACTGTGTGGTGGTAGTTTTCTCATTCACTTCGGCCGCATCATTGATTCACTCTCATTCATGATTCTCCGAAGAATCTGAATTATATCTATTCCTCAACCCAGTTCAGTTCGCTTTCGAATGCAAATAAAATCAAAAGAGCGATTTGGCGAAATAGGATCAGCTTACCCTCAGAGAATGATATCACCTTTTGAATTATGAAATGTCCGTGCATGAAGATTGTGAAATATTTATATATCCAATCATAAACATTGTGAAATACTTATATATCCATTCATAACAATTGTGAAAGGGTCGTCTATCCGTTCATAACGTTTGTGAATACTTATATATCTTAAATACTTATATATCCGTTCATAACGATTGTGAAATACTTGTATATCCGATCATAACTATTGTGAAATATTGTGAAATACTTATATATCCGTTCATAACGATTGTGAAATACTTCACAGTCGATTTAATTGTCATCAGTTGATATCCGTTCTCTTTGAAGTGAACGATATCTTCAGCTCGCTTTTACTGATAATCGTGCAATTGAGAACCACTAGTTTTTTTTGATGGAAAATTGATTTTCTGCGTATTCGACAGAAAATTTTGATGTAATGATATCACTGAAATAATTTTAACTGTTGTTCGTCACTGACGTTCCTTTTGATCTTTCGTTCATCCCTTTACGTTATCCTCACAATCGAGATTCAGGTGTAAACATCAACATTGTTTTAATTGTATTGGATAACAATTTCAGTCAGTCAATCGTATTGCCGGAATTGTTATCCAGCATGAGTAAAACGATGTTTATAGATTTAGATGCTGTGATATGAGAAGATACCTGATACCAACCATTCGCTTTAACTCAGCCACGAAGGGTTTATGGCCCTTAGTGCCGGTCCCAAGCCCGGATAAATGAGGAGGGTTGCGTCAGGGGATGGCAACCCGGCGTAAAAGTGGTATTGCCGAAACGAGTGATAACACGCCGGACAGCTGATGAAACTGAGGAGAACGATCAGCATCCTATCGACCTATGGACGTGAAGCTGTTGGACCATGGCGATCGACAGACGATCTTCCGTCAGGTCAAATTTTGCAATTAATTTTTTGTTCATTTAATTAAGTGAGGGTTCTTTCGCAAGATTTGTATGTCTATTCCACCCCTTCCCCTAGGCTAAGATCGAGAACATCCATAAGATTGGATGAAACTGCTGCTGAATGCTTTCAATGCATTATTTTTCCATTAAGTGAGAAGCACAGACGTTAGATTTTCGAGCACCCTTGTAGGTGTTCGGATGCAGTGCGTCCGGGAGAATGGGCTGATAACCCAAGGAGAAATCCTATCCCGGCTCCGGGTGAACCCGGCATTCGTACCGTCAGACTACCATGTTTATGTGGACAGCGGCGGGGGACCTCGGGTGTTTTACGAAAATTTGGTGTCTGTGTTTCTGTTATAACTATTAGTCGATATCAGTTAGAAAACTTTTGCAACAGTTTCATCTCATCTTATGGTTGTTGGTATTTGAAGTATTGAGCATGAGATTCAGTTTCTGTGTGCATTTTATGAAGTAATATCTAATTAGTTATCAGTATCTCATTGACCTGAATGAGCTGATGCTTTGGTTGTGTATATTTATAATGTTAAATTTCACTGATCCCGTTGGACCAAAGTTTTCAATCGCCGATCGGTTCTGTCAATCTGCTCATCGATCGAAAATCAACAGTTGAGAATCGGCAAAAACTACAATGTCAAAATATCGGATATTATCAATATCGAAAATTACAATCAAATATCAAGTATGGAATGAAAATTATATTTAAATATCCAGTATCGAGTCATCCCAATCGATTCAGTCATCATAATATGGAGTCACTCAGACGAAGTTATCGATGGAACGATGCTGCATTCATCATCAAACGGTCACGTTTATTTCATTTCCATCCATTTGTTTTGTTTTCCGATATTGAATGTTAGGGAGATTACTTCTCATACTAAGGTTGAGCTAGATAGCATCGACGTACCTTAAGCAAAAACGTGCTTAAGATCCATTGATTATTATAATTCATGAGCTATAGGCAATCTTCAAGTCCTCAAAGCAGTATCGACTTGAGACTTTGTATGTCAGGATGTTGTAAGCTTCCTTAGGTCATGAACAAGAATATTTCACCTACTTCACATTTGCCTAAAAGAAGTTGTGTAGGTGCTGAGATGTAAACGCTCGAATGAGGTGACTGTTGGAGGCACAGATATTGCGTTTTTTTTTAAATGA